AAAGAACCTAAATGAACCTAAAAAAGAGTATGTTAATAAATTGTGTAACAATAGTAGGATAATACAGTATATGAAAATTCGCTCTGATAATTCGTTTGTGCAAATTGTCAGTTATCAGTTATTATTATTATTTATTAACATACTCTTTTTTAGACCCATTTAGGTTCTTTTGATAACGAGAGCAGAAAATAGCTATCGAAACGTCAAGGTAATTTTCCAAATTAATTTCTCTACTAATTGGAATTTTCTCTTACAGCTTGAGCCTAAGTGTGTCGCAGGATACCCTCTAGGTGATAGTTCTTGATAAATAATTCGTTCTTATTGCGAAATAGGAGCACTATTTATCAATCTGTAATAAAAGACGTGAGGAAATTCTGTCTTTTTTTAAGACAAAAATTTTTGATGCGAAATACCCAAAAAGAAGTTTGTAAAAAAATCATGTGTTATTTAACTTCGCATTTTAGGAAACTACATCTACAATTTTGTTCCTCAACCGACTACCTGAACGATTGCCGTTGTTTTACCATGCAAGCACGAACAGGTTTTTGCAATCAGCATTATTTAAACTAGACGGATTTCCATAAATCGAGTCTATGATGGTTCTCCCGTCGCTCAAAGACCGGGAAAACCTGGCAGAAATCTGCGTTTTTTACGCTTTCAAATTGAAAAAGCTGCCCAAAAACGAAATATTTCCAGTCGCAACAGTATAAAGTTCGAACACAGCAGCGCTGAGATTATCTGGCATCTCTCACAGACCCCCATGCGTGCGAGTAAGACGCCCGATGCTTGCTACGGTCCAGAATGACAATATCAGTTTCAGGAAATTGAGCATGTGAAAAACCAATGGAATGTTAGAGGCAGCTATATGCATATAATGAGCGTTTGAGACTAATGGGAAATATATTGTCGATCAAAATTCACTTAAGAATATCTAAGAGTAAAAGCAAATTGCCTTGCTAATGAGCATGATTCTTATCGGGTTCTAGCATAGATAAAGACGAGTAGGGTTCGAGATTTGTCCGTTTAGGACCGAGCAGGTCACTTTAGGGGCCATAAACTTTCTCCTTTAGACAATGGTCAGATCTCATTGTTACTGCCTCAATGGGGACCCAAAAGGTGTGAAGAACCTTGTTCAAGGTGGTCGAATTCTCCACGAGCACGGAGGGTTTGATGAGTTTTTCTCAAGAAAATCTGGTCACTCAAGAAAACTGGATTGATTTTGCATGCATTCAATAGTGCAATGGTCTGTTCTATCAGATCCTTCGTCATTAGACAATTTTGCAGAACCAAAACAATGAAACAGCGGCTTGAAAACACCAAGCCAGGCAACAAAACAACAGGGCTGGAAATGGGGTTTCTTGGGCTCATTGACGCTGTCGCTGTCCCAAAAATTCCCCTTCAAAAAACACTACAAACTACAACAGTACATACCTAGTAGAGGCGCCTCCTCTACCTTTTCTTCTATTATTCATCTGTACTGTCCCGTGGAGGGTATCCGTACACCCCGTCGGTACCGGAATTTTGATGTTTTTCCGGTGCTGTTCGATGGGCAAAATTTGCGGTAAATTAGCCCGAAAAACCGTGGAATCGAAAAAAAATCCAACTGAGCACAAATTCAAAATGGCCTTGCTGGCGTGACGCAACAATGCACTTTTGCCCGCTTTAGAGGGTGGCAAAGAGTGAACGGATGCGGCCTACACACGTTAAAAGCTCGCGAACGTTTACGGCAGTGAAAACTCTTCGATTAAAACTTGCGGAAAAGCCCGAATATTCAAAACAACTTGGTCGCTGATTTAGCTCAGACTAAACGTCTTTGTCAGAACCGACTGACACAAGTCAAGAAGGTAATGTCACGGTGGAGCTTGCGCCTGGTTTGCCACTCATGCGCTGTAGCGTCGGCGGCGTTGTCACGTTGACTTTGAACGGTGATTTCTGGACATATTCACTTTAATTTTCCGAAACCTTTAGTCGGGCGAAAATTTAAAGAAATTAACAATAACCGTCTTTGATTTTTGCGCGGACTTTGTTCGCAATGTTTTTGCGTTTTTAACTGAAACTATTTTGTACTTGTTTCGCTTTGTAGCATAAGACTTTTGTTAAACAGCTCCGAGTGGTAACCGGCAACGTCGCAGCTTTCCTGAACGGTCATTGGCTCAAAGGTGCTGAAGGCTCCAGTGAATGACTGGCGCGTTGCGCCCCACTTGTTATTATTTCGTTTTCTGCCGGTTTACGGAAAGCGGCAATTTAAAATCGATACGGCTCTGACATGCGCCGCGGAAAATCTAACGAACAGCTTTTCTCTCCGCAATAGTTTTCCGACTTGACGTTTTCTTTTTTCACCTTCGAGTTCAGCAACCTGTGGATTTTGCTTTCAATTGCCCGTCTAAGGGTTGGAGAAACAAAAGAACGCGCTTCAAAATGTAAGTAGGATTTTTCTGATGATTTAATCGTTCTGTGGGGCGAATTTTAGGGCGTTTTAAGTCACGGTTGATCTGAGGCCTGAAAGTGGCAGATGAGCATTTAACTTGTCAAGTTTCGTTATAAATTCGCGAGGTTCCGAACTGTACAAAGAAGTAGACATTTCATATTTTGAGTACGTTAAGTCAAGGGATTCAGCTTCATACTGGCCAAATTCCACTCAAAGCCAAGCACTTTCTGAGTTTTTAGACCCATTTGAGCATATGCGAGCCGTACTAAG